TGGTAATGTATATCGAAATATCAGAAATGTGTTTAAAAATCATATCACCGTTATTGAAAAAAATTATATCGCGATACATATTGATATTGAATTATTGTCCAGCCCTAGAATCATGTGAAATTATATCATAAACAGGAAATTATATAATGGTTAGTTCAAGTTGTCAAATGGTAAAACCCAAAGAACATGTTATAATATTTTGGCTTGTGATTTAAAAATGCATGATATAATGATTAATATGCTTACACTGTAGTCAAAGTGTAAGAAATATATGTTGTTACCTAATGGCCATTTTAGTCATTTTAGTTAGAAATTGCTTTTCAAAAATGCATAAAATCAATGTGAATTCAAATATGATATTTCTAACACCCAGGCACATGTGTTTTAAACTTGATTATTTTTATGATCATGAACAACCTTATTTCTTATTGAGCCATAAAGCACCAAAACACACTTGGAATATCTGGACGCGAACAGGAACAGATCGTGTTTCTCACTGACATTTAGGTCAAGATTCAATGCGAGCTGTTTATTATTTCAGCTCATGTCCAATTTTTGAAGTGTGGTAACAGATCCATCATGTACATTTGAGAGCATACTAGAACAGATAATCAAAACAATCATAAATAAATTGCATCCACTCCATTACCCTGATTGATAACTTGACCTTTTCTCCTTCATAGCCGGTCCATTTGTCCATCTTGATATTGTCATTTCCAACTTTATTCTCAATCATGTTAGTTCAGTCTAAGTAATTGTTCATCTCTGGTATTTGGTCATGTGTGTGATCAGCTTGTGTGACCATCTTCTTTCATCTAACATGCCTCTTTTCTTAATTGCTAATAGATTATGCCATGATGTCAATCTTCAAAGACCAAATGGATTGGATTTAAGAATTCTAGTACCACTGCACATTTAAAGCATCACTTTGTAGCTTGCGATTTTCAAAGTATAAAAGCACACATGGCAGAAGAATATTGATCTCCCTTATGTCTCATAAGGCTGGGAAGCATGACCTCAGGGAATGTCTTTGAAATATGCTAGAAATAGTAACAAAAGAATACTCCTGGTTATTTTGCACTAAAGTCTTTCAATTCAAAAGCATTGTGCTGAAACTTTACCCTGAACACTTCTAAGAACACTTCTAATCTGTGCCAAGTGTATTGTCTTGATAGGTGAGCTGATACCTTTTGGCTCCCTCGTCTTTTATGGATCATGCAGTACATCAGATAACTCTTCTTTTTAACCCCACAGTTATGGATACTTACCCCTTTTTGTTAATCGGAATTGACACAGATTTTCGAATCGATTTCAATTCACAAGCTCTATTTGATTCGGATTTCAATTTTTTTATATATATATTTAGATATTTTGGATATATTTATTCAATATATTGAGTTGTATACAAATATTTAACATTTAAATAAGGCAGTTTTTGAAATCAGTTTTTAATGATATTTTCTACTCCAATTCATTGTTAAAAGATAAACATTCTTGTTTTCATGAAAAAATATTAAAAAATGCAATAAATGAGACATCAATAGCAGGTTAGTGTATTGAGTGTCTTTTCTGAGGTAAATGTAACACTACGTGACACATTGTTTACAAACTTTTTTTATTGACGTTTTTTTGCGGTTGAAACACTAATTGAGTGATTACATGAGACATGATCATTTTAAATAGATGTACTGTTTTTTTTCATACATTCTGATGTTCATTCATGTTTATTTTATGCTATAACTAGTAGTAAAAGAAAGAGATGATTGGTTCGTCTCTGCACTGCAGTGTTGGGCGATATGGTCATTTTTCAAATCGTCATATCACCAACCCGTGAGATCGCCAATACACGATATTATCGTGCGTGCGTGAGTGGGGCAAGAGAGAGAGACTCTCTGTACTTATCTTAGGCTATTTCATAACTATGTGGTGTTTTAAACCGCGTGGGTGCGCGAGAGAGAGCCTATGAAAGCACCAATAATCGAATAATAACTGATAAACTAACATGTTAAATATAAAAAAAAAAATTTAAACAGCTATTTCATATATATTCGGATACAACAGTCATACATCGCTATTAGGAACGCAAGTCCTGTGACAAGTTTGCCGCATCAGAGCACGGAAGTTATCAGTCTAAAAGGTCTGCAGTCAACAGTGAAAATCAAAAGTAGATTTATTTTAATGACCAACAGT